TTTTTTTAATGTGTTGAATTATAACTGTTTTGCAAATGTTAACCCTGTCCTGTATCTGGGGATAATCTTACTTCTTTGAAATGTATTGTGGGTTATTTGGTACAATACTGGATTCAACTTTCTAATACTTTGTAAAGGTTTTTATCATGTATGCTAACAAATGATATTGGTCTTTACTGTTATTTTCTTGTTATGTGCTTGTCTGAGTTTGGTGTGAGGATGCGTTTAACTTTGTAAAATAATATGAGAATGTTCCCTCCTTTTACTTTTTGAAGTAAATATTGTGAGATTTCAATATTATTTATTTTATAAGTATTTGAGAGAACTTACCAGTTTTCTTTTTTTTTTTTTTTTACCTGATATTTACTGATAGATTTTATTTATTTATTTATTTATTTATTTATTTATTTATTTATTTTTAAATATTAAATTTTATTTTTATATTCCCCCATACAATTGCAAACGCCCAATTCTGACCCCAATCCTTTCCCCCCCCCCCCAAAAAGTGTCTCTGGTTCATAGTTTTTTGTTGACTTTGATTTTCACTTTCTTATATTCATTTTCCTGGTCCCTTATTTAAGTTTTCTAGATTCCTGCTATGAGTGAGACCATCCGGTATTTTTCTTTTTCTTTTTGGCTTATTTCACTGAGCATGATCCCTTCCAGTGCCATCCATGTTGCTGCAAATTGCATGTGTTTATCTTTTTTGAATGCTGAGTAATATTCCATGGTATATATGTACCACATCTTCTTGATCCAGTCATCTATTTTTGGGCATTTGGTTGTTTCCAAAGCTTAGCTATTGTAAACAGTGCTGCTATAAACATAGGAGTGCAGGTGCTCTTTGGAATTGATGTTTCTGTGTCCTTTGGGTAAATACCTAGGAGTGGAATTGCTGGATCATATGGAAGCTCTATGTTTAGTAGGTCCAGAAATCTCCACACAGCTCTCCATAGTGGTTGGACCAGTTTGCACTCCCACCAACAGTGCACAAGAGTTCCTTTTTCTCCACATCCTCGCCAACATTTGTTGTTGCTAGTTTTTTTAATATGTGCCATTCTCACTGGTGTGAGATGGTATCTCATGGTAGTTTTGATTTGCATTTCCCTGATTACAAGTGATGTTGAACATTTTTCATATGTCTGTTGGCCATTTGCATTACCAGTTTTCTTAAGTCAATCAGATGAAGCCACCTGGTTATGGAGTTTTCTTTGTGGGAAGGATTTTGGTGAATGTTATTTTTAAAAAAGATACAGGACTGATTCTATTTTCTATTTATCTTGGTTGTTTTTGTATCATGGTATTTTTTAAATATCTTTTTTCATTTCATCTAAGTTGTCAAATTTATGGGTAAAATCCCTGTATTATCCTTTCCATGTCTGTAGGATCTGCAATAATGTCTCCTCTTTTATTTCTGAAATTGGTAATTTGTTTTCTGTTTTTTGTTTTCTGTTTTTTCCTTAAACAGTTTGCTAGGACTTTACCAGCATTATATATCACTTCAAAGAAACAAAATATTTTACTGATTTCTCTTGATACATCTATTTTTTATTGTTTTCTGTGTTTTGCTCAGTTTACTTTCTTTTTAATAGATATATATTATATAAATATATATAAATTAAATATAAATTAAATATTTATAATTTTTTATAAATTCATAAATATTCATAAGCTAAATATTTATATAATATATATCTTTAAATTAATTTTTATATATTTTGCATCATTGTTCATTTTTGTACAATGTTTGCTTTCTCCTCTCAGGTGTAGAGCCCGTAAAATTCCCAGCACCATATCCCCCTCTAACCATCACCACAGTCCCTTGTGCTCTTCCCTCCCCTGTTTTGCTCCCTTTCCCTCCCCCTTCCCTACAGAATGTCTCTAATTTATAGTTGTTTGTTAATCTTATTTTGTTTTTATTTATTATTGTTATTATGATTGCCTTACTTCTATTTACTTTTGGCTTAATTTATTCCTTTTCTAGATTTTTCAGTTGAAAAAATCAGATATTTGATTTTAAATTTTTTAATTTTTCCAATATAAACAATCAAAACTTTAAAAGTAGCTCAAGTGCTTTATTTGTATCCCATGGTTTTAAAATGTATTTTTTCTTATGATTCTCTTTAAAATATATATCATAATTTACATTGTGGTTTGTTCTTTGATACATGCCATATTTAAAAGACTTGGTTTAATTAGCAAACATTGTGAACTTTTAAATAATATAATTTATAATTTATTTAAATATTTATTTTTTATTTATACAATAGCTGGGGTACAGGCCAGAGGCGTGGGAGGGTGACAGAGGTGGTGGGGGGGAGTAGAACAGACAGATGGACCCAAAGCACTGCTGAGAGGAGCAGCAAGCGCGACAGGAGAGGTCTGCTGCGCCATGTGGGAATCTCTCTGGCGGTTCTGGAATGGAACCCATGATGTAGAGCCTGAGGACAGCCTCACAGCACTGTGCTCAACCCACTGTGCCCCCAGGGAGGCCCCTATAATTTATAATTTTTAATTCTAATTTAATTCTAATAATTTAATTTTATTATACTCCGAGAAAATACTCTGTATAATTTAAATGTATAGTATTTATTGATATACATTTATAGAAGTATAAAATTTGTTGAGTCTTATTTAACCTGTCAACAGATTATCAGTTTTGGTGAATATCCTTGGGTACTTGAAATGAATATTAAACTTTTGCTATTGGATATAATGTTTTGTACAGTTCAGTTCACTTAAATTCATTGGTAACATCCCTATAGAAATTTTCAGTGTACTTGTTTGATCAACTACTGGAGAGAAAATAAAAGTTGTTAGTTATAATTCTGTTTTCTCCCACGAGTTGTGTTAAGTTCTTTTTCATGTATTATGAAGGTCACTTGTCATGTACATATTCATTGAGGATTTGTCAATATAAAATGTCTTTCTTTATCTTTATAATATTCTTTGTCTTGAAATCTCTGCTTATAATATAGCAGTATCACCTTTGTTATTTTTATTCTATTGCTCACATATCTTTTTTTTAATCCTGTGTATTTAAAGTGTTTCTTACAGATAGCGTACAGTTTATGCTGTCTTAATTTTCTAGTCTAACATTAATAACATTTGGTAGTATAACTGACATTGTTTGGTTTATTTGCCATCATATTTATTTTCTATTTTCTAATTGTTAGTTTTTTCTGCTTTTGGATAAAGTGAGAAATTTTAATATTTCATCCACTTTTTTTTATGTCTAAATCTCTCAGTTTTAGGAACCTTTTGCACTTCCAGTAATCATCCTTCCATCTTTCCTATTTATGTCATACATTTTTCATCTCATATGTTGAAACCCCACAATATGATATGTTTTTTATTCCAATTGTCAAATGTTTAGGGAAATTAATAAGTAAGGAAAATGCATTTATATTGAATGTACCTATTTGCCATTTCTGAAGTTGACATGGGTTTCCCTCCTGTACAGTCTCCCTTTAGTCTGAAATAATTCCTTACACATTTCTTATTAACAGGTCAGTGCTGATGATCTCTCACCTTCATTTATCTAAAAGGATCTTTATTTTCCTTTCAGTTTTGAAGAGCATTTCCCCCCCCATATGTAATTCTAAGCTGATGCTTATCTTTTAGTATTTAAGATATTATTCCATTGTTTTTTGTCATTCTTACCTTTTTGTGTTCTCTGTAAGTCAGAGCCTTTTATTTTTTATTTTATTTATTTATTTATTTTAAAAAAGATTTATTTATTTATTTATACAAACACTGGGCACAGTCACAAGTGCAGAAGGGTGAGAGAATTCACCAGAGCCAAGGCAGGGAACAGAACAGGCAGACTGATGAAATACACTGCTGAGGGGAGCAGCGGGTGAGGCAGAAGAGGTCTGAGTGCCCTGTGGGACCCTTGCAGGCGGTCGGGGATCAAACCAGCAGTGCAGAGGCTGCAGGCAGCTTCACAGCCCAGCGCTCAACCGCTGTGCCACCAGGGAGACCCAAGTCAGAGCCTTTTAATTTTGGTTTCTTAAAAGATTTTTTCTTCTTTATCATCACTATCTACCAATGCATTATAATGTTCATTGATGTGGCTTTCATTTGATTTTGTTGGAATTTCATTGAACTTCTTGAGTCTGTAGATTTATAATTTTTACTGAAATTTGAAAAAAATTAGTCATGTCCTTATCTCTTCAAATATTTTTATTTGCATTATTTTTCTCTCATTTCCTCATAGGACTCCAGTTTCAGTTATTTTAGAATATTTGAGGTTGAATCACACGTCACTGAGGCTCTTTTTATCACCCATGATAACAAAACCATGTAGAAAATTCAGTGGATGCTTAGAATTTAATTGCATGGATGTGTAGTGATCTATTTATTGTGGTTGGCAGCTTCTCTCATAGATCCCTAAATACTTCTGCCTCCTGGTAATCACACTTTTATGGAATTGCTTTCTTTTGAGTGTGGGCTGGACTTAGCAATTTGTTTCCAATGAGTAGAATATAGCAAAATTAATGGGAAGTCATTCTATGATTAGGTTCCAAAAGACTCTAGAACTTTCTCTGTTCATCACGACAAGGCAAGTTGTAACATGGAGAGGTCTAAATGGCAATAAACGGAGGGAAAGCTCTCTGTCCAGGAGCCTGCAAGGAACAGAGTTTTGCCAACAACTGTGTGAATGAGCTTGAACACAACCCTCTCCCAGTTGATGTTTTAGAGAAAACCTCAGCCTCACCTGTCACCTGTCACTAGTCTTGTGAGAGACTCTGGTTTAGAGCACATGGGAGAGGCCTGGCTAGAAATCACAGACATGGTGTTGTAGGTGAAGTATTGGAATAATTCGTTACATAACAATTAGATAACTAGCACACTTTCCTAGCTGATATTTTTGGACATGGCTCCTTACTTGTTTATTTGCTGTTATAAATAATGCTGCGCTAAATAGCCTTGGGCATATAACTTCATCTTCAGAAATGAATTTCTATAAGTGGAACTGATGAGTCAAAAGGTAGAGCTCATTTTAGTAGTGTCTGTAATAAAATTTAGAATGATAAAGAAAAGATTTACGTGGCCCTTGGATAAAGATGACGTGCAAATTTATGAACTGTTTCTTATTTTTTAACAAAGGCTTAAAAGTAGTTCCATGGGGAAGGATAATGTATTTTGCCACATGGTACTGGAGTGTTGGGGGCATCCATAGGTAAGAAGATAAAATTCAACCTGCACTGTACAACTTTTCAAAATTTAACAAGAAATACACAAATTTATAAAAATTAACTCAAAATGGATCTTAGATTTAAAACATAAAACGGTGACAGGTAAGGGAAAAATATAAAACAAAAATAACTTTAGATTTGGGGTTAGGAAAGAGTACTTAGACTCGATACTAAAAGCCCAATCTATAAAAGAAAAATACTAATCAACTGACCTCACTAAAGTTAAAAACATTTCCTTTGTGAAAGTCTAGGTAAAGCAGATGAAAGACAAGCCACCAACTGAGAGGAAAGGTTTGAAAACCATATATCCAATAGAGGATCAGTAGCTAGAATATATAAAGACCACTCAACACTCAATATTAAAAAAAAAAAATCAAATTAGAGAACAAGCAAACAACACAGGTTTTTCAATGAAGATGATATGCAGATGTCAAATGAAGAGATATGCAGAATTATGAATCATCAAAGAATGCAAATGAAAGCCATAGTGAGTATTACAGATGGATCAGAATGGTGAAAATAAAAATAAAAACAGTGATGTTATCAAATACTGGGAAGGATGCAGAGAGACAGAATCACTGATATACTGTTGGTGGAAATATAAAAATGATACAACCCCTACTGAAACAGTTTGACAGTTTCTTATAAAACAAGGCATGAAATTGCTGTGAGACCCCAAAATTTACTCATGGACACATATCTCAGAGAAATGATAATCTCTATTCACCCATATACTTGAGTGTGAATGTTTAGAGTGGCTTTATTCACAATAGCCCCAAACTAGATAGAGCTCAGATACACTTTAGCAGGTGAGTGATTAAACTGTGGTACGTATAGGTGTGAAATATTACTCAGCAATGAAAAAGGGACAACTACTGAAACATGCGATAATTCAAATCAATCTCCAGGGAATGTTCTTGAGTAGACATAACCCAAACTTCAAATGCTGTATACCATATAATTCTTTTATAACATTTTTCAAATAACAAAATTTTATAAATAGATGATGACAGTGGTTAGGGACAAGGATTGTGAGTGGGAGGGAGGAAGGTATGATTGTAAAACTGCAATACTAGGGTCTTATCTGCGGTGGTAGATATGTGACCCTCTACCTGTGATTAATTGTGCAGAACTAAATACATGCACACACACAAATGAGCACCACTAACATGGGGACATCTGAATGAGATCACTGCATTATGCCAATGTCAATACCTTAGTTGTGCTGTGGTACTAGAGTTTTGCAAAAGGTTACCATGGTGGAAACTAGGGAGAGAGTACAGAGGATCTCTCTGTGATTGCTTTCAAATAAATGTGAATTTATCATTATTTCAATTTTAAAATGAAATGAACATTTAATAATTTTAAATATATTGACAAATTTTACTCTAAGAAGAGCACAATGATTTATAATTCTATTCACTATATAAATAAATTAGTTAAGCAGCACTGCATACTTACAGCTCTGTAAATTCTTGGCCCCCATGTCAATATGATAGGAAATTCTTTTCTTTTTTTTTTAAATTTTTTTAAAGATTTATTTATTTATTTATACAGGCACTGGGTACAGTCAGAGGCACGGGAGGGTGAGAGAATTCACCAGAGCCAGAGCGGAGAGTAGAATAGGCAGAGTGACGAAGTACACTGCTGAGGGGAGCAGTGGGCGGCAGGAGAGGTCTGCGCGCCATGTGGGACCCTCGCCTGGGGGCTGGGGATCGAACCGGCACTGCAGAGGCTGTGGGCAGCTTCGCAACCCAGCGCTCAACCGCTGCGCCACCGGGGAGGCCCCATGTTAGGAAATTCTATGCAACCAATGTTAACCAGGATGTAGAGAGTTGTTTTATAACGATAAACATTTCACTTCATCAGGAAAATGTAAGAATTACAAGATTCTTATATAATTAATTCTTAATTCTTTGTACAATATAGCACGGACATATACTAAGTAAAAACCTATGAAAATAATATGGGATTTTTCCCCTCAGAATCTAACAGATCAGGCAGAGAAGAGTAGAGAAAATTTTAAAACACTACCCACAAGTTTGACTCTATGTTTAAATCTAAATCTATATATATATGCACTTATATATTTGTGTCAAATAATAAAAGTACACATTTTTCAAACACTTGTGAGATATTAAGAACTAAACACACACACACACACACACACATACATACACAAATGTGGCTTTAGAAACCCTAAGAATAGAAATAAATCAAACCATCAGACCACAATATAGCAGAAGCAGAATAAAGAAAATGTTAGGCAAAAAGTGCCATTGAATTGAAATTGCGTACCATCTTTCTGAGCACTTATGTACTACAGAAGATCTAACTTCTGTGCATCATGTGTGAACACAACCTGTTGGTCAATGATTGGTCATTCAATTAAAGAGACTGGAAAACGAAAGCAAAAAGCAAAGCTGTGGTTGATGCAAAAACAGCCTCAAATTCCTCTACTGCACGAATCCAGGCTCTCAGGTGGGGCCCTTATCACTCCCACTCTGCTCTTGGCCACAGGACTTGAGTTAGCTGAAGGCTCCTGCCTTCAGGAAAAAGGTAGGGGACTTTATGTGAGCATGGGTCTCACCTCTTGCCGTGACACCATATGAAGGAATCAGGCTGGGCGATTAGAACTACGTGGCCCAGTCACCCTAGTCCCACTACAAGCAGCCTGCCAGCTACCAGTGGTGTCCTCCAGGCCATCCTAGCCCCTCCGCCACCCACCAACCCAGCAGCAGAGGGTCATGGGGGCTTGTCAGCCCAGCCTTGACCAGCCGAGTCAGCCAGAAGCAGGGACCCTGGTAAATCTGCAGAATAATGAACTCAGTTAAGGGTGGTTGTGGCTCAATTTTGGGGTGGTTTGTGACCCAGCAAAAGCTGTGAAACCACAAGTTAAGAAAAAGAGGCAGCTGTCACACAAAAAGTCATCATTTGTGTCGTTGATATTCTTCATCTGTGCTATGGAAACAAGCACCCGGTAAACCATCTTTAATCACCTAACTGGGGCTACAGAAGCCAGAGTCGGGGTGGCAGCAAGAAAAACCCCTAGCCTGGGGGCTCCCTATCGCCTCTTCCCTCTGCCCAAGGGCACAGCATTCACTCTGGTGGTCTCATGGTCTGTTTTCCATAGCAAGTAATGGGTCACTTATCTGAATCAGGAACTCCAACCTGGGGCTGCTCAGAGGCCTCGCATGCTGGCTGTCAGGGCAGGGGGCTCTGTGACTTTGTGCAGCAAGGGCCAGGTCATGGCAGCTGCCTGTGGGAGGAGTTGAGTTGCAACAAGTCAGTTCTCCAGCCCACGTGGTTCTTGGCAGGCTCTCAACACAGAAGTGGGTGCACGTGCACACTTTGTAGATGTTGCATGCACATAAGGTGTGTGGAGGCTGGTGCGTGTAGGATCACCCTATGGGCAATTCTTCCCAGGCCTGGAACAGAAGTGTGCAGCAGAACTAGAGTCATTTGCGGACGGGGTTGCTGAGCCGGCTGGCTTAGTCTCAAGCCATCTGAGCGGAAGTCAAGGATTTCTGTGGGGACTCGTTCTTCCACAGGTGTTCCTGCAGCATCATAAACAAGATGGAAGGGACAAGCTACATCTGTCTGTTTGCAATAAAAAAAAACCCTTAAGAACAGACAAGATGGTGCAGAGGCACCACATCTGTCGCAGTGGGACCAGCGGCCGCCAGCAGTTTTTATTTGACTTTGTTTGTGCAGTTGAGAGCAGGTCTGGTGGGAGGGGACAGCACTGGCCTGAGTGCCGCAGCACAGTGACAGCTAGGCAAGCTGGCCCTGCAGGAGCAGGCGCTGTCCCGCCCTGTCCATCGGGGCTGCTGACACTCCCTGCTGGTGATGATCAGGGCACATCCCCACGCCTTCAGGCCTTTAGGCCATTACACATATTTAAGAGTTCCTTAGCTTTGAGCTGAATTTATTTTTGTCCCACAAGACTGCTAAGGGCCAGGCCCATGGCCCCGGAATCTGAAAGAATGACGGGACATGCAAAAATCCAGAATAAAACTCTCCTCCAAAAATGGCAGTTGAAGTGTAAGTTGGAGTTAATATGTCTACTTTCTTGATTTGAGGATCTGGAAGTTTGGGATCAGTCCTTGGAATCTGTGTTTTCATGTGAGGTTGAAGATCCCTTGTCCCATCTTCACCACCATGCCACCCCTAAATGCCACGCTCAGGGATGCAGGGTGTCAGCTTGTTTCATTTTCAAAGCAGAAGCAGTCTGGAGCTCCAAAGCCCTCAAGTTGTTCACTCTCAGTAACTTACTGGTCAGTGAATCCAATTCCAGAAAATTTCCAAGTATTCCTCTGAATGGCCAGTCTCTCTTGCAAGGTCTTTGGACACTTACTTGCAAGATCTGTTTGTGTTTCTCTTTGGCACTGGGGTTCAAAGGGATGATCACATGGCGACCCATGTGGCCACTTGGTAATTTTTTGAGACATTTTTGACTTTGAGTTAAAAAACTTAGACATCGAGATGGGAAGTTGATAAAAATAAATAAAAAGATAATACAAAGACAAAAATAAAAATCTAGGGCTTCCTTGGTGGTGCAAGGGGTTAAGCACAGCACTATGAAGCTATCTGCAGACTCTGTGGCATGAGTTCAATCCCCATCTGGCCAGGGATTGAACCACCACACCCAGAAGTCCTCTCCTGTCTCGCCTGCTGCTCCCCTCAGCAGTGTATTTCAGTAGATCTGCCTGTTTTTTTTCCCCTCTCTGTCTCTGATGAATCCTCTCACCTCTGCACCTCTGGCCTGTACCCCTGTACTTGTATGCATAAATAAATAAATCTTAAAAAAAAAAAGAAAGAAGAATATAGAATTTCACCAGGCAGGTTGGGGGAGGGGGGGACAGGCTGCTGTCACCTTGTCTGGGGCGTGTTCACGCAGCCT